TTGTGCTTCTGGCAGCACTTATCTGCAATTCATTACACTAAAAGCTGTATGAATCACTCCAGGAGGAAACACAGACTTTATGCAAGCTTGCACTGGGACTTATGATGAGCGGCCTGGGTAAGACTGCAGCCCTCATCTGTGTGAATATATTGGACCTTGTGTCTATTTTTGAAACCCTTCATTAACCACAGAATCACTCAAACTGTCACAAAGAATTTAAGGGTTTTCTTTCTTTTAGTAGAAATAGAGAACAAGTGTGGTGCTCTAGTTAAAAGTAAGCGGGGCAATTGTTATTTGATTATTTTATATTTTTGCCTGAAAACTGATACATTTAAATCTATGAGCAAAATTATTTGGTGGCTCTGAGAAGGAAATGTTAATCACCAGACTCTTAATTTTCTGAGCCTGCACCAACTTGCAACTCGGCATCAGTTTCTGAGGGAGATGTTTTTATTTGTGTAAAGACAAAATAAATTCAGGCACCTGTTTTCTTAAATAATTCCTTTTTATTTCAGAATCTGCAACCAGCAAACGTTTCAAGTGAAACCACAGCTCAGTCGTGATTTTATTTTAATGCATGTGTTGTAATATTGAAAAGGAAGTATATAGGTTTTTATAGACCTCCGCTTCATGTTCTGTCTTTGTCGCATCCTGGAGAGGTTCTCCCCCCAAGCCTGCCTCAAATATGAAATATGAAACAACCAGTAACTAAAGTATGACTCATATAGGTTAAGAATAAATATTTGTCGCCATCTGGTGGCCAAATCCTGCAAAACATTACAGTTAAAATATAGATTTGTTTAAGTGAAATAACTGCTGGAGTATTTCTGGAAAAGGGAGATGGTATTCATTGTTAAGAAATCTGAAAAAATGCAAAAACCTGCTGAAAATGTCTAAAAGAACCCAAACAATGAATACCTACATGAACTAAAGCGGCAGTGTCATTGCACCACTAAATAAAATGCTAAATTCAAAGAAAAACCTATTTTTTAATAAGAACTGCAGATGTGATCTTTTGTTTAAGATAAATGGATAAAATATCTGAGTTAACAGGTAAAAATTATTTGAAGCTTTCAAATACACTGTTCCTGTGAATGTGCACATTTTTAATGTACTGCACAACAAGCTCAATACGGACAAAAATTTATAAACATTTTTATAATGCATAATAAACATAATAAACGCAGCACTTGCAGGCACGTGGGGCTGTTTGCAGATTTAATCTGAGAATGTGTTTTGTTCAGATTTAGCAGCAAGTGGCAGATTACCCGTTTGTTTTATAGCCCGAGGTATTTTGAGGCCATTTCAGTGTCCTGCTCCACTTTGAGCTCATTGGTGAGATCGGGTCAGGCGCGCGTGTGTGTCTCTGATTGATGCAAATGAAGCACCTCTTTCTTTCTGCGGAGGAGGAGGAGAGGCGAGAGCAGAAAGCAGCGCGCACAGCAGCTTGGAATGAAAGCTGCGCGTTGTTTACGTCCTTTCAGACGCCCGCGGATGGCCATGATGATGATGATAATGGTGATGAGGACGAACGCGCCTCGTTTTCATTCGTCTGTGTAAAATCGCGTGGAGGGAGAAGGGGGTGGCGCAAGACTGTTTCTATCTCAATTTAAAGAGACTCCGCTTTTAAGGAAAAACATGACGCTGGGCAGAAAGCAGGTCGATGAAATTTGGATTTTACCATGAGAGGAACCGGCATGGATCTGCTCTGGAGGATCCTTGCAGCCTTCAGCTTCGACTGCTTCAAAGATTCAGCGTCGTCAAGGTGAGCGGTGATTGATCAGCCTGAATTTCATCAGGTTTACAGGACACAGCCTCAAATCCACAGAATGCCGCACTCGCTGTTCGTGTTTCGGGGTTTTATGACGTGCTTTTGCAACACAGCCCGATGTTTGAGTCGAATCTGTCCGCTTATTCAATCTGAATTTCAGCACTCTGTCTAATCCTTGATCGTGTAATACTCCCTACACAGGGACACTGGTGCACAATGTTTTCTCATAGAGGGCGTTTTAAAATCAGGCTGTGATGATAAATCACATCAGAGTGGGGTTTTTATATACCGTCCTTCACAGTTGTTATGACAACAGGTTTCCAGAATCGCTCCAGCTTTGCCTCCTGAAAGCCAGTTCATGTTACACAACTCGGAAATCCTGCCAGCGACATTTCAAATGAAACCCTGTTTTTCTGCTTGCATTTCCACACTCTGCAGTGAGAAGAAGTCCTAATCTGAGAACCTGAGGTTAACAGGTAGCTGTCCACTCAGGCTGGGAATGAGGCTCAGACACAGTTGTATCAGCACACACTGAAGTTCTTGCACAGTCCTCTAACTCCACCCTAACTGTGACCAAGTCTTGTTTTACCAGTTACTGTTTTTTCCAAGGAACAAATGTGTGCAAAGCAACACCATCTGTGTTCAGCGTGCACCAGAAAAACCTGATCCCATCACACCTGCCTGTCCTGTTTTCATGGCTTTGACTGGTAATAGTTGTCACCCCCAGAATGTCTTGGTTTAAATAAACCAGCAGCCAAAATATCTACTTATTTGTCCTGTTTTTGTTTTGCCAAGTCCCAAAGAAATTAGGTTTGTCACCAAAGCACCATTTACTTATATCTACAGCTCTTATCTTTCATAAAAACTTGATTGGTTGTCGTGTTTGTTATTTCAACATGAATCCTTCTATTAAGATGGTCAACGAGATGATGTTGTGTGTGAATCAAAGGAAAACAACCTGGCTTTACATTATATATATTTCATTAAAATGTTTTTATGTCGTAGTTTTTCAGTATTTCTGGTATGTGTGTGTATATATATGCTTGTTTTATTTGGTTTGCTCTGTATAAGTGATGGATTCATTGCAAATTTGGAAAAAAAATTCTGAGTTGGAGATCAGATTTTTACTAGTAAAGAGCCATTGAAGATCCATGAAAATGACACATTGCTTTGTGAATTTACATGCATTTATTGTATTAGGGTTGCATTGTATTTAATGATTTATTATTTCTATAAAATGAATTAACATAACTCAGAAACCAGCGCAATCCTCAGTCACTTCTTCAAATGTTTCATTCTACCCTGCAAACAAAGCTAATATTAGAAATGGGAATCATAAAACGGGAACATTTTTTTGCATTTATGATGGAAATTTCTTTATTTATCTCAAGAAAAACACATAATTAGACAGGCTCCATTTGAGAAGCTGGAACCAGCAAATATTAGTTCTTTGGCTTGAAAAAGCACAGAATTTAAGCCACTTTGTTGTTCAGTATAATAGTATTAAATATAATAGATGGGATGTCCTCCCCCAGGAGAATCAAAGCTTACTTTCCTTAATTTCAAACAAATTTTGTAACTTTATTTTTTTACCAGTATATGGGGGAATTGTTGTCCAAAGAAAAGCACCAAATCAAGCACCAGTTAGGAAACCTCCATATTTGGGGAATTGCTAAGTAAGGTCTTTGCAGCCTTTGTGTTTTTTATTCTGAGGGGACAAACGTGGGGTCTAAATCTCATCCCTCTGAAATCTACACCTGCGATTTAAACAATCATGTTTTATTTTGAACAGCTTGATGCAATGTGTAGTTTTCAGGCTGTCTTCACGTCCTGTTCCCTCTCCCTCTCAGGTCTCCCACTAAGTTGAGCTCCAGCCAGGCCGGCAGTCTGGAGAGCAGCTCCCTGACCGGCTCCCTGTCGCTGGGCCCCGACCTGCCGCACTGTCAGTGTTGCATCTCCTACGAGGCCCGCCTCAAGCGCCTCTCCTGCGGGCATCTTTACTGCGATCCCTGCTGCGATCAGATCGTCAACCTGGCCTTCGAGGACATCGAGGGTCTGTCGGACTACCCCTGCCCCATGTGCAAGTCCATCCGGCAGCTGGGAGGCCTGGGTCCATCTTCCTCCGGGTACTTCAATGGGCCCTACAGCATCCTGCAGGAGCAATACACAGGGAAGGAGCACGGCAGCCAGTGGGGGTAAACGTGAAGCCGCTTCACGGGGGTGATGCCGACTCTCTGGACTTCTTAAGCTGTGACCTGATTGACTTTTAAATTCACTGCCATGAAAGCCACCTATTGACTTTGGAGTCGTGGTCATCCTACTTTATTTCATCTTGCTCTGTTGTTTGTGCTAATCAGGTGAAACGTCTGAGAATGCACAACATTAACATGCATAGATTTAAGTGCCCAAATGCATCTCCATAGACTTCACGACATCATGGAGAGGTTTCCTATCTTTCAGTCCGTTTAAGCCCAAAGTGTGTTTAAACACCTCACTCGTAATTTTAAACAGCATGCAGGTTTTCTACTGAGCTCTGAAAAACAGAAATAACCCAAACCCGAGTTGAACACAAGTGAACCGGAGTAGATATTTTGTATATTTAACATTTCCTGTCAGAAGACGCTGTTACTCTGAACATTTCCTGTGAAAGTACTGATCATTTTGCACATGATTCTCAAGCCGTTTCACACTGACTGTATGTTTGATGCAGCTGGGTTTGAAATCTCGACTTCACTGTACAGTGCCGTGCTACTTTTAGGTGTTCCAGATCATATTGTAAATATTTATTTTGTTAAAAAATAAAAAGGTTGTGTGAACAGTGTACGAGCACGCCGTGTCATTACAATCAGAGCTGGTAACACTTCTCTTTTTATTTATCAGGGATCAAAACATGCGAGTACAAAAAAAGAAAAATATGTACATCTGGCAAATGTAAGTACCAAAAACATGAAATGATACAAAGACACAGCAGCAGGTGTGAGCTGAAGATCAAATTAGGTCTTCCATGCAACGGGACAATGATGACTTTTTTTTTTCCTTTTTTCCGCGGAAGACCAGCAAATCCATTGGCATCACACCTGGAAAGCTCTGAAACTGTAGCTGAAGTCAATGCCTTAATATTGACATAATGAATATTTACAGCAATTTAATAATTCATAGTGCTATCAAGTGAGGTACCTTTTGACATGAGAGAAGGCCGGTATCAGACGGACATCTGACAACTGTTATCCTGCGTTTAAAAAGAAAGAAAAACATCCCTTTTAGCAATGGTGCAAATTCATTCATCCGTGGGAATGACGCCAGTGCATCTACTCGACACCCACATCATGCAAACTGTTTGGATTTAAAGGTGCAGGACCAAATACTTCCCTCTGTGCTTTTCAGACAAATCCTTGACCTAAATGCTGACTGCATACTAATACGGCAGCAGGCAGGACGTGAGGAGATCAAATAGAAGGTAAACACAGGAGGAACTGAGCCTCCCTTTACTTCAAACACTGCTACCTTCTCAAGGTACAGAAGTCCAAAAGAGCACAATTATGTTTGTTTTTTTCACCACCATAAAAATGATGGAAACATTTTCAAATAATACCAACTTTGGTTGAAAATAATCACACGTATCCACATGTACGCCATCCATTAGCGATCAATACAAACACATATCATACTAAAGCCCTGAAATGATCATCATGCAGGAACTGCAGAAACATCCAGAAAACTCCAGGCTGACATAACACCATAAACTGAATATAGGCCTCTCGCTGCTCCCGAGCAGCGTGCATGTGAGCGGAGAGATATGAGAGCACAGCGGTACCAAAATAGCGCTCATGCCCTAAATTCAACTGGTCGCAGCGCCTGGAGTTAGAAAATGACGGTTTTTGGAAATTATTATTTTCCAAACAATAATTTAATCTTCTATTTGACGTTGACAAACAGCAACAAAGAAAAAAGTCATTAAGAGTTACCAACTTTAAAAAAAAAAGTCTTCTGGAGGCATGGAGCCTTAAGGGCACACAGGTCAGAGGTTAAATCCATTGAAACGCTCAAGAGTGTCCATTCTAGATCACGTCCTGAAAAGTGCCTGTAGGACCCATCACTTAACACATTTATCTCCACTCCGCCCTGTCAGTGCAACCCCCCCGGTGGATAAGAAGGTAAAAATAGAAACGACAAGCTTTCCGTCTCTTTCTTAAAGGGTGACATCAGGAAGTTTACAAAGAAATAGTCTCGGCGACGGTTTCTGCATACTGTGAGGTGTACTTCCAGCATTCAGCACCTTCAGGCATGACTTTTTTTCTTTGCAATTTAATTAAAGGAATATTTATTCAAATATACAAAAGACTTGTCACATTATTTGATACAGTACACGTGATAAGTAGCAGAGGAAAGAGCTCTTGCACTGATCATTTCATACAGCTTCAGTTCAATGTGGTCCGTCACAATGTCTCGGTTTCGAATCGCCTTATGGACACGTTATTACACGTCTGCTCCTCTCAGTTCGTGGCACCACTGAGGGACATGTCTGTGTCATTTGGTTAGAGTACCCGGTCAGGGGGTGGAAAACAGTCAGATCTCAGGAAGCTAGCGAGGGTCCGTTACTCTTAGGCAGCTTGGCGGTACTGGACGCTGAGTAGTATCGCTGGTCAGGATGTGCATCAATCACAGAGGAGTGCCCAAACAGGAATGTGTGCTTGCTGCTGCCACCCGTGTCTTTGTGAGCAGGCCTGGATTGTGGAGCAGAGGCGGCGGGAGCACCCCTGGAGGTGTGTTGGTTGGCCGAGGTAGGGAGGGGTGCTGCTCTGAGAGCACCTGCGCTCTGAGGCCTCGACGCCGGGAAGAGGAAGGTGCCGTTGTTGGTGTTCTGGTTCAGGTTGGTGTCGGCTCTCCGGGGCTCGGTTGTCACGGCGGGCGGGGTAGGATCCGTGCTGGTGGAGACTTGTTCTAGCTTGTCTTTGAGCTGCTGCACCTCCTGTGCTAGCCTCTCCACAGGGTGGAGGTGGTTGGCAGAGAGGGGGTGAGAGAACGCCTGAGAATAGAAAGCAGAAGAAAGTTTTACTTACGGGACTGCTCAGCAACTTTAATCCAACCTCATCTCAATCTGAAGGTTTCTCATCCTGCATTTTTCTGGGACCAAAACTACAAACTAAAAAGCATGAAAGCAATGATAAGGTATTAAAAACTGCTTTTTAAAAGTGACCTTCATTGTTGCTTTCCATTAATGACACTAACTTGTCCAGAGGAAACTCTTACTGAAAAGATGAGTGGAGAAAATATTTATGTATCAGTATTTCAAGCTGCAGTTGTAAGACATCAGAACATTGTGACCACATCATAGTGCTGTGAAAAAGTAGTCGTCCCCTTTCTAACATGTTATTTTTTGCATATTTGTCATACAGTTTCAGATCAAAACCCCATTTAAAATCATGACATAACCGATTAATCACATTTCTTTGGAAAGCTGAGTTCAGTTTTACAACCTAAAGAAACAACATCAGTGCAGAAAAAAAGTCCCTGATATCTGTCAGTCTGGAAAGGGTCAAAAAGCCATTTCTAAGGCTTTGGGACTCCATTGAATCACGTTGTTATACACAAATAGAAAACTTGGAACAGTGGTGAACCTTCCCAGGAGTAACCAGCCTGCCATAAGTACACCAAGAGCGCATTCAAACTCATCCACGAGGACACAGAAGAACCAAGAATGAAATCTAAAAAACTGTAGGCCTCACTTGCCCCAGTTAAAGTCAGAGGTCATGATTCAACAATAAGAGAGAGACTGGGTGAAAATGGCCTCCAGGGGAGGGTTCAAGGAGAAAACCACCGCTGTCCAAAAACCCTCAAAAAAAGGCTAAAAAACATGTTGATGAAGGACATTGTCCAGGTATCAGTTCATGCTCTGAAGCACAAAAGTACTCGGGTTGTGCAGCAGGACAATGATCCAAAACACACCAGCAAGTCTAATCTGAATGGAAAAAAATAAATAAAATGGTTTTGAAGTGGCCTTGTTAAAGTCAGGACATAAATGTGACTGAGATAGTTCGTAAACAGGATGTTCGTGCTGAAAAACCCTCCAATGTGGCTGAAACAATTCTGCAAAGAAGACTGAGCCACCGTTGATCCACAGCGAAAAGACTCGCTGTCAGTTTTTAGAAACACTTGATTGTAGTTGTTGCTGTTAAGGTTTGTTCAACCAGTTAAGTTTAGGGGGCAACTACTTTTTTCCACACAGGCCCAGTAGGTTTGAAAAACATCATTTTTTACAATCATCATTTAAAAAGTGCATTTTGTATTTACTCCGTTTATCTTTGTGTGACTTTGCGTATCTTTGTTCGATGAACTGAAACATATAAATGTGACAAATATGCAAAAACAAGAAATCGGGACGGTATGTATGAACACACTACTAGTAGAAGGAGTGAAAACATACCAGCATTAGCAGCTGGTTCCAAATAAAATCCAGAATAAACTTGTTCAACATCTGCATCCTACTGTAGGAAAAACCTGCCACAGAGCTGCTACCTGCTGTTGTACAATAACTATGCTGCTAAACTGGGAGGAGGGGAGTGTTGCCTGTTCTTCCTGCCCAGCAAGGTCAGGGTCCAGACCTCAGGACAAAGGTGTGTCCAGCGCAAAGGCCTCTAAAGATGCCGCAAAGTTTCGAGTGACAGATGCGTTGTTGGTTTTGTATGTTTTTGTCACAAAAACACGTAAAGTATATCAGCAGTACTTTGCATTGAATATGCAGTCTATAGTGAGGGAACGCTTCAAGGTAAGACCTCATGAGCTCTAAAGCCTAGGAACGAATGCTTCCCCCTACCTATAGATACTGACCCAGTTAGAGTGGTTTTCTAGTCAGTCTGAATTTTGTAGTAAGTGTTTTTTTAATTATCCTGAAGTGTGTGTTCTTCAGATAAAAACAGTCCTTGGGTGCTTTGAAAGGCGCTATTTTTTTTTAAAATAAAATGCATTATCATTATTATTATTATTAAAAAACACAGAGACTAACAGGTGTTTGTTTAATACGTGAACTATGCAGACCACAAACACTGAGTAATGCCTGAATGAATCCATGCTTCTAACAAAAGAAAGAAGAGGAACTCGTGTTCCTGAAGGGAACATTCAGCAGTGTGTGAAACAAAACTGTCTCTGAAACCTGAAATGGTTTTTCAGCAGCCTGACAGAATTTCTCCACAGTGCTTTTAAAATAGCTGCAGGCACCCACCCACCCACACGGTGCTCAACTATTCTTAACATCACCATGGGGACGCTGATAGACGCGCTGATGTACAGACATCACAAAGGCTGAACCATGTCCATATTTGGAGCTGCTCATTACTGCTCTGACTAATCTTCGCATCAAAGAGGACGTCATCTACTGAAGGAGCGGAATGGAAGTGAGAGGATGTAACACGGGACACAGGAGTGCAGCGCTCGCGACGGGGGCTTCAGGAAGGTTCACGGGTACCCACGTCCGGGTTTACACACTTAACTTTGATACAGTATAATAATTATGCAGAGGACTGAAACTACTGGCATCAAAAAGTTATGCATATATGCCCTAAAATATGCCAAGATTTCAATAATAATAATAGTACAGTAATAGAAAATAAATCATAATTATATAAATATTTAAATAATAAAATTAGGTGTTATAAAAAAGATGGTAAGATCATTTTATTTTATTTTATTTCCTTTTACCATTATTAACTTTCACTTAATATTTATGTGTGTATTTATATTTGTATTTGGTTTACATTATTTATTTTTGTTTGACAAATTTACTCCTATTCTTTCTGTTTTTTTCCAAAATTTCTGCTTCATTATGCAAATGAGCGAGGCTGTCATGGAGTAAGCTTTTCACCTACTGGTTGATTGAGCTGGTAATTCATTTCATTTAGTTATTTCATTTTATAAATCAGTTATTTTTCTGTATACGTAGATTACAACTTTTTAAATGTCACCAGCGCTTGAAAAGAAAAACAACAGCCACACCTGACTGGCTGCATTTATTCAGCTGATCACCTTCAGATGTGTTCCAGTTGTTTTGAGTTTGGCATCAATGAACAAACAAGTGCAAAGTTTACCTCATGAGATCATTTGAATGAACGCTCATCAACTGCATGAAGCATAAATAAATAAATAAATAAATAAATAAATAAATAAACAAACAAACAAGCAAGATGCAAACAATGTAAAATAATAATAATAATTTATTAAAGTAAAAATGACTAAAAGGTAAAAATAACAGAAACAATATATTATTTAAAAAGATAAATAGACTGTAAATAAAGAAAATGGATAAGTCAATGCATAAACATATAGAAACAGAATTAATTATTTATTTATTAATTCCAATAATCATTTTATATTTATATTTTGTAAGATATTAACATGTAATTGAGTCACTCTGAGATGCATTTAAAAATTTGGCAGTTTCAGTCCTCCATATTTGAACTAGAATAGTGCAGCTCAAACTGAGTGTTTTATACATTTTCTTTCCTAAAATGACCTTTTAGTTTATATTTATTAATAATATTCTGTTTAATATAGTCTAACACAGCTGGAAACTTTAAGTGTTAAGCAGAAGACATCATCACATTCAGGACTCTTTGTGGTCTTCATTCGAATGCACAGAGAAACTGCATATGAAGCTTCACTAACAATACCCGCTCATTCTTAATGAATAATTTCTATATGCCTGCATCAGACTGTTGACATACCTGCGCATGGAGTGCCCCGCGCAGGTAGCACTCCCTCCACAGGCCCATGCAGGGGCCCATAAGAAGGGGCAGTAAGGGCTCATAGGGGTCAAGTGGTCCTTGAGGTCCAGACGTAGATGTGAGGGCCTGGGGAAACTCAACTAGAGCCCAAGCTTTCAGCAGTCTCTCCAGGCCAGGCACATTCTCAGAGGACAGCGCCCTCCGGTGGCTCTTTTTGTAAACACCTGAACTGCTGCTGCTGCGCCACGGAAGCAGGTTAGTTGGACAGGAGAAGGTGCCCCGCGAGAGCAGAAACACTGAGCCCGGGACGGCGTCGGTCAGCTGGTGGGCAGATGTCAGAGGTCAGAATCAGGCAAACTGTAACACACCTACAACAGTAATCGTACATTTGAACTGAAAACATTTGGCGGTTTAACTTCCAGTCGCAAGACATTTTCTCTGGGAGCCTGCAGGTTCTACTTCTCCTGGTTAATTCCACTGATTTGCATTTATCTAGATAAAAGTAAAATAATACATCTGTAAACTGAGAAGATAGTTTAAAGGCCATTATGGACAATCAAGACAAGTGAGTTTGAAGCGGCTGCATCTTTAACGAGTACCATAAGCAGGAGCAGTGGTATGACGCAAACATCCAAGTTCTTAAGATATCAGTCTACTAAAAATATGCATGCGAAAACCTCTGCAACAGCTCTTCTTGCACCCTCACACTGGTGGTCTGCTCTTCTTCTCTTCTGCCCTGAAGTTAAACTTGTGTGTTTACAAATTGCTGCTTAGGTAGAATCCAATCTGAAGTCTTAAGTGTCACTGTCCAACCAAAAGCAAAAATATCCCACACCCATTTCTGCTGATATACTTTAACACAGACTAGACTCTAAACACGGCCACTAGGGGGACGTGTTGCACCATGCAGTAGACGAGCCAGCCTCACCCTGTGTTTGTCGGGGTTGGTGTTGAGGTTGCCGTTGAGCAGCGGTTGGAGCGGAGGAGTCGGGGGCACGGGCTGCGTGAAACGGCTTTGTCTCGGCTTGCTGTACTGCAGGGACCAGTCCCACACCGGGGGCAGAGGAGGGTCAGACGGATCTGTGGAAGAATCTGGATGCAGCACATCTCTCCAGCCATTGACGGGCGTGTAGCACTGCCCGAGGTTCTGAGTATAGCGGAGGTAGGAGGTGTCATTTATTATGAAAATGTCTGTTTTCTGCAGTCTACATCTTCCTACTCATCATCATCATCATCATTACAATCATCTGGAGAATCAGAGTCAGCATTTGTTGTTCTAACTAATGAGGAGCAACTGCATGTTAATCAATTACTTCACCACTATTTGAACTAATCATTATATAGGGGGGCGTTCAGTACCTGGGAGCGTTTGCATCTCTCTCGCTGGCAGTTTGATAGGAAGGTGGAGAAGAGTGGCAGGTGGACGCTGTCATGCAGTGCCAACAGGAAGTCTTCTGTCAGCTGGAAGCGAGAGGGATACTGGGACCACAGCTGCCAAACGCAGTCCAGGAAGAGCAGGAAGACTGGAGCCTTGAAGGAAAGATCAAGTGAGAGAGCATAGTAAATAAAGTTAGAGCACAAACAGGAAGAGATGAATGAAGGATGGAAGTGAGAGACAGAAGGTGAAGGAGGAGGAAACAGAAGCAAAATAAGGGTGAGGGTGGGACTAGGGTTAGAAACCAAGAGCTTTGGAAACTTGTGGCTGTGTTTGTTAGGAGGAAAAATAAATGGGTTCAAAAATGGCCGCTCACCTCCTCCTTGTCGTTGTCACGGTGGTAGTTAATGCGGCTGTAGAAGCGGTGCGCGCCCATCACCCACTCCTTCTGCACCAGACCCTGGAAACCATACATTGTCCGACAGTGGGGGTCACACATCACCTGCACCAGGCTGGAGACCACGCAACTCATGTCCCGGTCCTCCACCTCTGTGACGTCAGAACAGGAAGAGCACATGCTGAATGCCGCGCCTTCTATTCGAGTAGCTCACTCAGTCACTGAGCAACAGCAAAAACCAAACAATCCAGCAAGTGATTCATCAATTCTGCTCTTAATGCTCAACTCAGAGTGCAGGAAAACGTTAGCAGACCCAAACTGAGCATGGCTCTGTCGTCCTTTCAGCCTAGCTGGTAGAGAAAGTGAAAGATCAGCAGCAAGCAGTAAACATCCTCAGCTGAAAACGGCCATTGTCTGAGCAATGTAATGTTACACTGAGCGTGCAACAGGAAGCCAGACCAGATGGTCAGAAATCCGCCAAATGTCTGTAAAATGAGTCAAAATAAAATCTAAAGGAATATTACAAATGATCATCTTCTGACATCCCCCTTTGTTTGATTTGTTTACTTCACATTCATGCACAGCGTGGCCACAGGCCAACAAAAGTTTAACGTCAGTGGGAGACTAAACAATGAGAACGTCAGGAGTCAGAACAACAACAACACAATCATCCAGTGATTTTCCATCCCACTCAAAGTGGGCCTTTTAGGCAGTTGATGTGCAAGTAAACATGACTGGTCTGGATAAAGTATGCGAGACTGGTCTGTGTTACCTTATTTGACAGAAATAGTTTAGATTTCATGTTTTTCTAAGCATCTGATAAACAAAAACATCTATTACATTAAAGTAAATAATAACCCTACAACTGCTTTGCTGGGCACTGAAAATTCCTCTGTGGAAGAAAACCATGTCATCTGTTGGCCAGAGCCTGTCTCTGTGAAGCCGAGTCCCAGTCAGGCACGCTGAGGTCACCCTCGCAGCATGCTTGGGTTTACCCGGCCTGCCTAGTAGCGTTTCCTCGTCACCTGAAACGCCTCGCTGCTGAGCGGTGATCAGTTGACAGCTCGGGTCCAAACAAACAAAAGTCAGCACGTTCCTCTTTGCAACACAGAGACGCAACACAGAGACGCACCCCCTCTGCACCTCCTGCCACATAAAGCAACATTAGCCCAGCATCCATCCAGGAGCTTGGTGTGCAGAGGTCTTCTTTCCCACCACAGCAGGGCCCGATTGCACATGCCTGTAAGATTGATCGATCCACGCACACCAAAGACAATGAGTCTTTCAGCTTATTTAACAGAATGTCCTTCAGCTGCAAGCCAAACCATGATTGTGTAACAGTGGAAGGGGGAACGGCATTATCCTTGGTGGGGTGACCAAAACCTCAAACGTTTCTTTACGCAGGGAAAACCTTGCAGAGTCATCTGGGACCTGAATAGAACAAAGTGTCAATAACACCGCATCACACCTATAAATAGCCTTAATGGATCCATGTGCCAACAACAGAAGTTTCAACCAAAAAAGAGATTCAAAAGTCCACCAAAACACGACGTCAGACACAGAATATTTTCCTTGAACTCATTAATTAAACGCTATAATTAACTTAGAAGGCCAATTGCTTTTCTGCTGTCTGACCTCATGTGAAACAACAGTTGCAAGCAGGTGTAACTGTGTCCTTAAAAGCATGTTGCATGGGGGCTTATTGACAGTGTGCATGTAGGCTCAGCGGAGTGTGATTGTCCGCAGTATACGTCTACTCCAAGGTAAGCCCTAATGTGGCATTAATGAAAGGGAAGTGCTGTGAATAATGAATGAACTGAATAATATGAGACGGGCTCTGGAGTCACGTGACTCACCTTGAAGTGCCACAGTCAGGTGACCACCACGAAGCAAGCAGGCTACCTCTGAAGCCTTCCTCAAACAGGACCTGGAGGCAGAGGCAGGTTCGTGACATGCACCAGAATCGGCACATAAGAAATACAGTTACAATACCTAACAAACACAATTTGCATATTGTATATTAGTGTTAGCTATAAAGTTATAAACATAAAATTCAATTTTTAAATGCTGTTAAATGAGGCTTGCAAACTTTCATGGCTTCGATTTGTCTGCATAATGTTCGTTTTTACAGGACCCTGAACGCAGTTTTTGAATTCTTTAGCCAGCAAACTGTCAAAAAGGCTTCGTTTTGTTAGACTTGTGTCTTCTGTTAGGGATGATATGCACTGCCAGTCTGGCCAATCAGAGCCGTTACCTTGTGTAGTCTAGCCAGTGGGTGCTTTCCAGGGTAGATAACCATTTGTCATCAGGCACCGACATAGATGTGGAAATATCTACAAGTCAAAACAGAAAAAGAGCACAAGATCATATTCAGGCAGCATCATAAATACAAATGCATGAAAGAAGAAATCAATTTCTGCAGTTTGGAGACTGAAGCTTTAAATACCTTTAAAATATTATGTATTCTCATCAATGTCTCACGAATGGTAAATGGCCTGTATTTATATAGCGCTTTACTAGTCCC